AGGAGTACCAGTGCACTGACAAGGACATGGCCAGGGCACACAGACAGGCAGCCACACTCGCCTGGCAGAGCTGGGGAAGCAGGAGCACAGAAGAATAAACAGAAAAAACCAGGAATTGCCAGTATATCTCAAAAAAAAAAAAGGGCACCAGACAGCCCTCACTATCATCCAGGCTAAATCTGCCAGTGCTTCTGGCTCTGACAGCTTTTCAGTGACAGGCTCATGGAAGTCAGACACTTTTTTTAGCCAATTATCTTCCTGCCATCCAGTGGGGATTGTGTGCTGTTTCCAATAAAACTGGGGAAAGCCAGGGCAAATCTGTCTGCTTAGTATCTAGTGCATGGAGCAACTTAAAACAAGGAGCACATTTGTTGTTTTGGTCACATCTGATCCTGAAAGTTCTTTGCAGCATTTTTTCTTGGGAGGAAAGTTGCTACTTCACTGCCTGACCCCATCCCTGGCATTTAAGAGTTATTTAATTGTTTATTAAGGGTGTCTTAGTCAGGACTCATCTCCCAAGAGCTGTACAGCGTTTGTTAGACAGCCAAGTAGTCTAAGCCCAATTTTCAGTGTTTAAGGTAACACTCAGTGCTCTGAAAGCCTACCAGGATAACACCAAGGGCCAATGGAGCACCAGGCACTGGATGAAACCTCCCATGTCCAGCCACGAATGCTCAGTAGTGGCCCAAGCCAGCCAAGTGCACCAGGCAACTCCAGGGACAGTCCAGATGGGAAGGGCAGACAGCATTTTTCCTAATAAAGCCTGATAGGATGTCTGAAAAGGGCTTTAGCCCTTTGTTAAGCTTCAGGAGCCAGGCAAGAAAGTTCCAGGAATGTGAGTCATCCCACAGGATGGGTCTCGGTGGACATTCAGGATGTGCACTGTTAAAGAGGTGAAGGTGCAGCGTGTGCGCAGACGAGCAGCGCGGCAGGGCCAGGCTGTCTCCCAGGGGAGCACACACCTTGGAATTGCTTATGGGAGGCTTCCTACATCCTTCGGAATACACATGAAGTGCATGGTCTTCCAAGAAGCCTAGGAACCCTGAGTCTGTGCTCAGAAGGCAAGGGGGACAGAAAAGAGCAGGAAAGAAAAAGGAGATGGTTACACAGCAGCCAAGTGTCACCGCTCCACCTCAGGCTTCCAACACACAGTTACAGATGCACACGTGAAAAAATCAACTTTGGAGATGTGATGTATAAAAAAACCCCCCACATGTTGAACTTCCAGAGCCTCCAAAATATGGAAACGCACCTCAGGTTTGCTTCTGTAAACATACTGCTGAAAAAAGCCCTTGGAATTTCAGCGGGATGGAAATAAAGTCCCCATCACCAGAATGGTGTTCCCCTTCTGGCCATTACAGAGGCAGGGGAAGGGCAAGGAGGATTCTCCCTGTGTTCTGTTTAGCACCAACAAAACCCTGCAGCTGTCCTGCCAAAAGGAACTCTTTGTGGTTTGTTTTCTTCTGAGAATCTCTGCATTCAAATAACACTTTCTTAGCAGCGAGGTGGTAGCTGCTCCTTGAAAACAAACTTCATTAAGAGCCTAGAAGCAACTTATGTCATCTATTTTATTCAGATTGAAGAGGATGCAAATGCAATTTGCAATTGCAATTCTACAACTGCAGGTCACCTACTCTCCATGGAACAGCTCAGAGGTCTTGTACAACTAAACGTTTCAGGCTGTGACTATGATTTGTATTGCTAAAATATTGAGGGCATTAACAGTAACCTGACAAGCAGTTCTCCAGGAGTTCAGTACTGAAGGGAAGACCAGTCACGGAAAACCCGAAGCCTTAATAAAAAACGAAGTGAGACCATGCAAAAAGCTTTGCCATGGCAACCCCGTGGGCCGTGCAGAGCCGGGGGGTGCTGGCACGGCCGTGGCCCCGCGCGGATCCCGCGGCCACCCTCCATCCCCACTTCCCGTCATCTGATATGGATGCGACATAAACCAGCAGCTCCCCCATTTCCCTTTCCTCCTCTCTTCCTCCTGGCACCCCCAGCGCTATTCAGACGCAGGCAAGGCTTCCTCTGAACAATGCTGTCCCGAGGAGCCCGCGCGGGGACCGGGCCACATGCGAAAGCCATTATTGCGAGGAATTCTGCCCCACTGGGACCCGGCGGGGGGCTGCAACAACAACTCGTGCACACATTGTTTTTTCTAGGTGAGACTCATCAAGATGGGATCCTCGACAAGCGGCACAGCGGCCGGAGGAAGTCGAACACCCGCTATTTCACCCCCCGTGGAAAATGAATGGTCATTCAAAGGCTACGGGAAACCAGATAATAGGTGTGTGTGACCAGAGAGCTGAAAACGAAATCCCTGCCTGCCCCAAACGCTGAGAAGTCTCAGAGGGCTTTGCAAACAGGAATGGGCAGAGGAGGCACTTCTGCCCCACTTGCCACACGGAAATGTAACTAAACTATGTGTTTTTGCCCCATGGGATGGGAGCATTAAGGGGTGATGGGACCAAAGAGCAGAGCCACAGCACATCCCCTGCCCTGCTGTGCAGCTGGGGGACAAACACTGCACCAGGCAGTGCCCCCAG